GATAGGGACAACAAAAGTGACAGTCTTATGTTGTTCTTGATGGATTTTCCAAAAGATTGATGGGGGGGGGGTGGGTGTATAATGATGATTAATTTCCAGGGTAGCTGTTTGGAATGAAAAACTCAAAGCTTGAACTTTTAAATATTAAAGTTTATTTTTTTTTAAGTTTTTAGTCAGAAGGGTTTTAGTTTGGCTTGTTTATGGTATTTCAAAAGTTTGTAGGTATTCTGTGAAATTGTGGCTATCTATAAGCTCTGTCTGTAGTCATATGTATATAAATATATTTAACTAACTTTTTATCCTTATTTAAAATATGATGAATCTTGGCCAGGTATAGTGGTACATACCTGAAATCCCAGTTATTGGGGATGTAGGACGATTGAAGTCTGAGGCAAGTCCAGGCAAAAGTGCAAGACTCTCTATTTCTTTGTTGCTTTGTATGTCCCTCCCCCATGGTATAACCCCTGCTTTCACTGTATTTGATGTTGGTATAATTTGTGGAGGGGAAGGGAAAAAACAAATCGTTTAAATAGGGATACAGGTGGACTCACTGCAACAATGAGATGTACAAGTCGTTATGTCGAAAATGAACTTTACAAGTTTGGTGGGGGGGGAGGAAGAAGAGGATGGGGGAGACGGGGGCAGGGGGGGAAGATGGGAAAGGATGGGGATGGGAAGGGGAAACAAAGGAGGAGGAGGCTACAATGCTTGATAAGAAATGTACTCATTATCTTGCCCATGTAATTGTAACCCCTCTGTTCACAAAAAAAAAAATGGTGCAAGACTCTGAAAAACAAACATAAAATATATGAGGGGCGTGGCTCAAGTAAATAGTAGAGTGCTTTAAGCAAGCACTTGAGGCCCTGAATTCAAATCTCAGTGCTATCCAAAACGCCCACATTTATCCACCTTTATTCAGCCAGAAAAAGACATGTTGTGGACTTTTAAAATGCCTCATTATAATTCTTTATTGTTCATACTAGGGCCTTGAGATGGTATAGATAAATAAAATATATGGATCTTATACATGGCTATAAATATCTTCCCTTGGTAAGTATTCACAAGGTCTAATTACATTCAGGATTTTACACACACACACACACACACACACACACACACACACACACACACACACACACACACACACACACACACACACACACACACGAATTTGCAGTGTTTTCTCATTTCTTTTCCTGAAATACAATGAGCAGTGTAGTCTTCTAGGCATCTTTAACTGAAACTTGGCTTCCCCCAGAAAATATCACTGCCCTGCAATTCTCTCGAATAGAGCTGTATCACTATGGATATATTTCATTCATAGAAGATACCCCAGTCATTCTCTTATTCTTATCCATATGGAAACCATATCCTATCAGTTTTCTTTTAAACATAAAAGCATATTTGAATTTCCTCCCTCATCTTTATCTACCTAAGGCGACTCACTTTCTCCACCTTGATCTCTCATTCTGTTTCTGCCATCTCCTGAAATAGTACCATGGACTCTGACCAAGCCTTTGCTGTAAGAACTGATGGAGAAAATTTCATATTCAAACTGTAACAGTAGTTCCTTAGAATCCTTTTCATTTCTGGTGTCTCAGAATTTCTTCACTTTCATTTTCATATCTTGAACCTTAAATTTTAAGTTTTTACTACTTAAAAGAAAAATGATGTTGAGTATCTTTTCTTTTTTCCTGAGGCCAAGGCTTGCTATATAGCTGGGCTAGCTTTGAACTTGCTCTATAGTCTAGGCTGGCCTTAAGCACATGATCCTCCTGCTTTAGCCCCATAGTACTGGGATCACAGACCTACTCTACTATACCTGTCTTCTTTCCATATTCTTAGTTACCAACTACATAAAGTTTCTATAAAAATATCTGTTGTTTGCTCATTTTGAATAGGGATGTTGATTTTCTTAGTGCATTTAGAAGATTATTTATTCTGGTTCAAAAACTGTATTGGGATATTTGATTTATCCAAATCTTCCCCCTCCCCCCCCCCCCACCCCAAGTCCATTTTGTTTTCATTCTCTTTAATACTGCTGTTGAGGACTAAAATCTCTTTATTTTGGTGTAGTCTAGTTGATCAAATTACTTTCTGTGGGTTATGCTTTTAATGTCACAGTTAAGAAATTTTGGCTTAACTCAAGATCACAAAAATTCTCCTCTACATATACTTGCAGAAATTTATAGTTTTTGGTCTCACTTTTATATTTGTGATTCAGTCTTAGTAGTATGCATGGCATCATGAGGGAGGTATATATCAGATTTTATTTTGTCCCTAGACTACCCATTTGTTTCAGCATCATTTTTGAAAAGACTCTAATGAATTTCCATTGAATCTTTGTCAAAAACAATCAATAACATACATACTGGAGTCTGTCTGAACTTTCTGTTTCTCCATTATGATCTATTGATCTGTTCTTCTTTCAACTACTACACTGTCAGTCTGTTTACTGTATTTTTTTTCATAATCTTGATATCAGATGTATAAATTTCCACTTCATTTTTCTTGGCTTTCATATCCTGTGCATTTCCATATGATTTTAAAGGCAGTCAATTTCTGTAAAACAGCTTGCTGGGACTGTGATTTAATTGCATTGAACTAAAAATCAATTTGTGAAAACCTGATATTAGAACAGTTTTGATCTATTGACTTGGCATATCTTACCATTTGTTTAATCCCTCTTTCCTTTTTCTCAGCAATATTTTGTAGTTTTCACGGTATAGGTTTGCATATCTTTTATCAAGTCTATTCCAAATATTTTATATTCTTCATGAAATGGTCCATTTTGTAACCAACATTTTCTATTTTCTTTAAACATTCAGCTACTGATCTTTACTAGCATCTAAAAAAATCATACATGAAGCCTGGCACTGGTGGCTTATGCCTGAAATCCTAGCTACTCAGAAGGCAGAGACCAGAGGATTATGGTTCAAAGCAAGCCTGGTCAGGAAAGTTCATGAGATTCTTATCTCCAGTTATCCACCAGAAAACCAGAAGTGGAGCTGTGGCTCAAAGTGGTAGAGCATTAGCCTTGAGCAGAAAAGCTCAGGTACAGCACCCAGGCTCTTGAGTTCAAGCCCCATGACTGACAAAAAAGTACATACATACATATATATATATACACACACACACACAAATATGTACATATGTATATACACATGTATATATACATACATATATACTACATATACATATATATGTAGTATCTTGTGACTTTGCTGAATATACCTAATTTTATTAGTTTTTTGGATTTTTTTTGTTGTTGTTGGTCCTGGGGCCTGAGCTCTGGGCCTGGACACTATCTCTCAGCTCTTCAGCTCAAGTGCCACTTCTGGCTTTTTTTTGCTTATGTGGTGCTGAGGAATCAAACCCAGGACCTCATGCATACAAAGCAAGCACTCTACCACTGAGCCATCTTCCCAGCCCAGTTTTTTGAAATTTTTGAGGAACTCTTCATCATAATTGTAGGCTCTCAATCTTTCATTTGCAATAGCTGTTTTGTGTGTTCTCTGGTACCTTAATTATCTCAGTACTCTTAATTATTAGCTCATGTGTCTGACCTCCCCATTAGTCTGTCTTCTGATAAAGAAAGACCTTGAGTTATGATTTTTGCTCAATGTATCTATCTTAATATGTAACCTATGAATGGTTTATAATAAATATTTCATGAATATTCAGTTTGTCATTATACAATACCTTTGATAATTTTCATATCATGAACATCAATTAAAGTCATTCTTGTTCATTTTTCAGGAAAGTAGTCTTTCAGTATTTTATTTTATTTTTATTTATTTATTTTGTCTGGTGAAGGACTTGAACTCTGGGCTTGGGTGCTTTCCCTCAGCTCTTCAGCTCAGGGCAAGCACTCTACCCCTTGAGCCACAGTGCCACTTCTGGTTTTCTGGTGGTTAATTGGAGATAAGTTAATTGGAGATAAGAGTCTCATGGACTTTCCTGCCCAGGCTGGCTTTGAATTGTGATCCTCAGATCTCAGCGTCTTGGGTCGCTAGGATTACAGGTGTGAGCCACTGGTGTCCGGCTCTTTCTTTCTTCCCTTACTTCTTTCCTTTCCTTTCCTTCTTTCCTTACTCCTTTCCTTTCCTTACTTCTTTCCTTATTCCTTTCCTTTCCTTACTCTTTTCCTTTCCTTTCCTTTCCTTTCCTCCCTCCCTCCCTCCCTCCCTCCCTCTCTTCCTTCCTTCCTTTCTTTTGTGCTGGCCTTGGGCCATGAACTCAGGGCCTACACACTGTCCTTGAGCTCTTCTGTTCAAGTCTAGTGCTCTACCACTTGAGCTATAGCTCCACTTCCAGCTTTTTGGTAGTTTATTGGAGATAAGGGTCAGTCACACAAACCTTCCTGCCTGGGCTGGCTTCAAAATGCAATTCTCAGAATTTACCTTCTTGAGTAGCTAGGATTTACAGGCATGAGCTACTAGTGCCCAGCTAAAATGAGTTCTTCCATATTATCTCCAGAATATATTGTAAATATATTAATAATTACAGATTGTTATGATTTACAGTAGTCCAAATATTTTAATTTTATTTTCAAGTATGAAATATTGATTATATTTTCTTGGTAGCAATGGAATAGCAAGAAGAATTTGTATTCTTCCCACAAGGAAAAAATGAGTTTTACCTTACATAAGCTACTGCTTATGTAGTATGTTAAAAGGGAAGAGGCAGGTGTCATTAATCTTTATTCTCTGATAGAGAATATATATCCAAATGTTAATATTTAAGTAATAATAGCCATTAGGAGTTTTTAGAAGCAGGTTTAATGCATTGCGGTTAATACACGCTCACTAATAATTCCTGAAGATAGTTATATTCCCTGCACCAGATAAATTAAGTTACTTTGAGGGATATGAATGAAAAATGACAATTGTTTACTACATGATTAAGATTTTTCTGTTGGTTGTGGAACTTTTGAATTTTGTTATGTTTTTCTAAGCCTGATTTTTAACCATTAACTCTATGCTGTGCTTCATTTTCAGTATCTGGCGAGGCCCCAATGTCAACTGCACAGATAGTTCTGGTTACACTGCTTTACACCATGCAGCCTTAAATGGACATAAGTAAGTGCTACTTATTTTGACTAGAATTCTTGTATACTGAATTACATGTGATATAATTATTTCTGATGATATATTTCTTATGTTGCCATGAGTCTACCTGTCTTAGGTGAATTTGGAGAGGTGCAAGGATGTCAAGGATGATTGTGTACTGAGTGTGAACTGCAGTACTCTGAAATAATCAAACTTTACCCAGGGAAGATAAAGGCAGTAACAGGACCATATGTAGTTTTGGGAAGAGGATAGAATAAAACCACTTTATAACACTATCCTGTTTGGTGTTTTTTTAATCCTCACCCAACATAGAAATATTCACTGGTAGTACAATCTTGTTATTATAAGCCATGGATATGTATATGAACGATATTCACCACTTTGTATCTAGTATTTCAGCTAGTAACCCACCACTTAGTGGCAAAGTATGATGGATCTTCTAAGTAATTCAGATTTCTGTCCTTATAGAAGAAAAATGATCCTTTTCTTATATTGCCCTGTTTTCTTTTTTAAAGAATAATTCAAGATAGTTTTTGTAGCTTTAGCACTTTAGATTTGATAATTAATGTTTTAAGAATACTAGTTATATTTTACTTTCCCATCTAATATATAGTTGTTATTCTGTAAGTTGAAGCACATGAGACTTGGTTCTATTTGATTTTAAACCTGATAGCCATAACCTCTCACTGTAAGAAATATACAATTCTTTTCTCATTATTTATCACTAAGACACTCTTGAAACATTGCATAAATCTAGTAGTCTGGCAGTAGTTTACATCTGAAATTCTACACGAGAGAAAGAGAGAAGATCATGGTTTGAGGCCAGCCTTTGAAACAGTTCATGTGCTGGGTGCTGGTGGCTCATACCTGTAATTCTAACTACTCAGGAGTCTGAGATCTGAGGATCACGGTTTGAAGCCAGCACAGGGAGGAAAGTCCGTGAGACTCATCTCTCCAATTAACCAATAGAAAACTGGAGGTGTCACTGTGGCTTAAGCAGTAGAGTGCTCACCTTGAGCTGAAGAGTGCAGGGACAGTGCCCAAGCCCAGAGTTCAAGCCCCACAACTGACAAAAACAAAACAAAACAACAACAAAGACGAAGAGTTCATGTGACCCCATCTGAACAATATTTGGATTTGGTGGCACGTACCTATCATCTTAGCAACTGGAAAAGTGAGATCAGAAGGATTTTGGCTCCTGACTAGACAGGAGAAGGTGGTATTTTGTGTATATAAATCAGTAATATGACTTAATTAAAACATTTTTTTTATTGTAAAGATACTGTACAGAAGGGTTACAGTTACATGAGTAAGGTAATGAGTCCATTTCCATTGTTACCCCCTCCTTTGTTTTCCCCCGATATTCCTTTCTGCCCTACTTCTTCATATACTCCCCTCCCCACCTCCAAGTTCGTTTTCAACATACTGTCTTGTACATCTCATTGTTATAATGTACATCTCATTGTTATAACCTGTATCCTTGTTTCAGCATTTTGTTATTCCCCTTCCCCTCCCCAAGTTAGAAAAATGTACTCACAAGATTCAGGGTACTGGAATCAAATACAGTGACAACAGGGGTTATACCATGGGGAAAAACCATACAAAAGAAACAAAAAAATCACATAGTACATGGGCTGGGAAGGTGGCTCAGTGGTGGAGCGCTTGCCTTGCAAGCCTGAGGCCCTGGGTTTGATTCCTCAGCACCACATAAGCAAAAAGAAAAAAGCCGGAAGTGGCGCTGTGGCTCAAGTGGTAGAGCGCTAGCCTTGAGCTGAAGAGCTGAGGGATAGATCCCAGGCCCAGAGTTCAGGCCCCACGACCGGACCCCCCCCCCCCCGAAAAAAAAAAATTAAGTAAAAAATCACATAGTACATTAAAAACAACAGTGACAAAGAAAAAACCTCTTGTGTCCCTATCTTGAGGTTCATTTCGCTTAGTATTATCTTATATTGTCATGTGTACATAGCTTTTGATCTTTTCTGCTTGTCTGGTAAGATTATCCTAGGCATATACTAGTTATTGCAAATAAAGGAAACCATGAGACCTATGTTTCTTTTGAGTTAATTTTTTATGCCAAGTATCAGAGTATAATCAATTTACGTGTTTTTGTAAATATGACTAATTCAATTTTGTGTTTGATAAAAGTATCCCTCATTCATTATATCAGAAATATCATGTTTTATTTTTGCCACTTTAATATGAATCGAACCCAGGGCCTTATGCATGCAAGGCAAACACTCTGCCACTGAACTACCTTCCCAGCCTAGGTTTACATTCTTAATGCCTCATCATGAGTACCAAACACATAAACTCTCGCATTCTCAAGCTATATCCAAACCATATCAGAAGGAATTGCTTTATAGGAGAAGTTTTAGAATTTTTTTATTTGCTTATCATGAAGAAAGGAAATTAAAAACATTTCTTGTAATTGTCTTTAGCATTAATTTAGAGGAATTTATTTTATAGTAGGATAAATCCTTTTTAATTCTAGATATGTAGTTCAACCAGCTTCTGAAATGCTGAAGCATTTCAGTTTAAAAAGTTATTAGAATTGTTAACATGGCACTAGTCAGTCTTGAATACCTTTTGATAGCATATCATTCTACATTATTATTATATTAAAAGTCTGTTTATTATCTATATGTTAGTACTGGGGTTTAAACTCAGGGCCTCAAGTTCTTAGTTGGCTTTTTTTTTTTTCCTCAAGGCTAGTATTTTACCACTTAAGCAACAGCTCCACTTCTGGCTTTTTGGAGATGAGAGCCTCATGGACTTTTCCCTGCACAGGTTGTCATTAACTGTGATCCTCAGATCTCAACCTCTTGAGTACAAGAATTACAGCTACTCAATACAGCTAGAATTACAGCTGCCAGTGCCTGGCTATATTAATAATATTTGAGAGAGAGATGGAGGCTATTTGATTTGCCTCAAGGTAATCAACTTCATAACTAGTAGAGAATTGGAACTTTAAGCAAGATCTTCTGGTTCTTGGAAGTTTTTGTTACTTAAAAGTAGTAATTGAATCCTTATTACCTCAGTATCTCAAAATGGAAGACCTTATAATAACAACTCTTTATGGAGAGAGACAAAGAGGATGATGTGAACTTCTGATTTTTTGAATTCTTTTTATTTACTTATTATGTTTTTGTGCTTGTTTTGGTACTTGAATTCGGGGCCTGGACATTGTCCCAGAGCTGTTATGCACAAGACTAACACTCTACCACTTGAACTACAGCTCTACTTCTAGCTTTTTGGTAGTTAATTGGAGATAAGAGTTTTACAGACTTACTGTCCTAGGTTGCTTCCAACCATGATCTTCAGATCTCAGCCTCTTTGAACAGCTAGGATTACAGGTGTGAACCACTAGGTGGTTGGGCCAGATAATCTTTTGAAAGGTGATTTTCCATAAGCATTTTTATATCTAAAGTTTTTTAATTTTACTTGGGACTAGTGCTAATATTTATATAGTGTCTTGTTATTTATAAACTGACTTGTCTTTTGTTATCTCATTTATTTCTTTTATCAGACTTTAGTAGTATCATTATCATTGTTACAGTATTCTTTACAGAAAAGTAAAAGGAAATGAGACTAAAATTTTCCAGGGTCACAGTGTTAGGTAGTTTGAATAGCTGTGGTTCAAACGCAAGCCTTCTAAATTTAGGTCTTTTAAAATAGTACTGGTCCTCCCCCACGATATAACCCCTGTTTTCACTGTATTTAATGTTGGTATAATTTGTGGAGGGGAAGGGAAAAAATAAATTGTTTTAATAGGGATACAGGTGGACCCATTGCAACAATGAGATGTACAATAATGAGATGTTAAAAAATGAACTTTACAACTTTGGCGTGGGGAGGGGTGGGGCGGGGAGGGGAGATGGGAAGGGATAGGAAGGGGAAACAAAGGAGGAGGCAACAAGCTTGATAAGAAATGTACTCATTACTTTGCTCATGTAATTGTAACCCCTCTGTAAGGTATTTTCACACACAAAAAAATAATACTGGCTTTAGAAATACATGCCAACAAAAAAGAAAAAAGCCGGAAGTGGCGCTGTGGCTCAAGTGGTAGAGCGCTAGCCTTGAGCTGAAGAGCTGAGGGACAGCGCCCAGGCCCAGAGTTCAGGCCCCACGACCAGACCCCCCCCCCAAAAAAAAAAAAAAAAAGATAAAAGTATTGCTTAATTTGTCAGAAATCTTGTCACTAGAAACTTTAGGTATCTGTTGAACTTTCTAAATGTTCCTAATATATTTCTGTCATTCTTTAGGATTTCATACATGTAGCAACTGAGTCGACTATTTAGGTCACATTTAGGGCAGTGTTTTTTTTTTTTATCAGTTCATAAAATAGCATCATTATTTTGTATAATAGGTGAATGTTTCTTGTGAGCTATCAGAAATCTAGCCTTGATGTACTCAGATTTTCTCTATTTTTTTTTTAATTTATGACTTGCAGAGCCTTGGTTTTGTAAAAATTATTTTTTTCTGTTACATATATCCTATTGATTTTTACCTAAGAAATAATGTTAGAATATACTATAATTGTATGTATATCTGTATGTGTCTGGGATAGCCCTTAATGAAATATTAGAATTTGTGTCTTAAACATATCTAAATGAAAATAGTTTTTGTTTAGAAATCCTTTTTTGATTCTTTTACAGAGTACAGTATAATGTATAGCAACATTATTAATAAATTCTTCCTGGGCTTACTTTAATTCAAGAGTTTTACTTTGAGGGGGCAAAATGCAGCAAAATATTTAATGCATATCTTACAAAATTAGAAACAGTAGAGAAGAGGGGGCTGGGAGACAGGGATGAGGATGTTCAAAGAGGTGACATTGAGTAAGACACATTGTATTCATAAGATGCTTTGTTAAGCTGGCCACCCATGGCCCATTCTCATAATCTTAGCAACTCAGGAGGCTGAGATATGAGGATCTCTATTCAAAGCCAGCCCAGGCAGAAAAGTCTGTGAGACTCTTATCTCCATTAAACTACCAAAAAAGCTGTTAGTTGAGCTGTACCTCAAGTAGTAGAGTACTAGCCTTGAGCAGAAGAAGCTCAGGGACAGTGCAGGCTCTAAATTTAAGCCCCAGGACCAACATTTCCCCACTTACCCCTTCCCCCAAAAAAAACTTTTGGTGAATGGCAACTGCTTTGTACAACCATTTAACAATAATAAAAAAGTTTTACTTTGAAATCCTGGTGAAGCATGAATATGGAATCTTCAAATAACTGTGATTTGACTATGTGTTGAAATTGCATCAATTTCAGAACTTATCTCTTAAATGAATTTTCCTCCTTGAAATCATTCCTTAGGCTTGGAGGAGAAAGGGTAATGCAACATATTGTGACATACATTTGAAGTGTGTTATATACCATGACTGAAAGATAATTAACCTTTAAAATTTTTAACACTGACCTAATACCACCTTTTTTTCCTATGTATATAATTTTCTACAGGAATGACATAGAATTTCCCTAAATATCTCTTGGTATTATATCTATCTATCTATGGTTAATCCAATCACACACACACACACACACACACACACACACACACACACACACACACACACACACACTTGTGTTAATTGGGTTAATAAAATAAATTTATTGGGTTAATAAAATAAATGTTTTACCCAAATGAATTCTAGGTAGTAGTTCATTGGTTAGTCAGTACAAAGTATGTGTGTGCATGTTGGAAGTAAAAAATTGTGTTAACTATGCAAACTCTTAAACCCAATTTTATGATTTAATACCTTGAATTTTTCTTTAAATACCAGTCAGCCTCTAATATATATCAAAATATCAATCTAATGAAATATATCAATCTAATGAAATCTGTGTTGTTTAGTATGTTTTCTTTTCTGTTGTGTTCTTTTATTTTTTTGTTTTCTTCTTTCTAGGGACATAGTTCTCAAACTACTTCAATATGAGGCATCAACAAATGTAGCAGATAACAAAGGTTATTTTCCTATTCATTTGGCTGCCTGGAAAGGAGATGTGGAAATTGTGAAAATTCTTATTCATCATGGACCATCACATTCCAGAGTCAATGAACAGGTGCACTTGTCAAATATTTGTTCAGCCTATAATTTATTGAAGTGTTTTGCAAAGGCAAAGCCACATTGAGAAATTACTTTTATTGTTACTCTGCCTCAAACATTTGCAATGCTGAATTTCCTAAAGAACAAATTTGAAATATTCAAACATATGGGCATGGTATATAGGCACTAAGCCAGCCATTTGTGAAGATATGATTTTAATGAGAGAAATCCCACTTAAAGGAAGTACTTGTGCAGTATTTTTACCTGCCTTATATAATCTATTTTATAGCTGTTGAATATTTAAAGCTAGAACAGCATTTATATTTGTAATGAGAATTAGAGTGTTCCTTAATAAAATTTTAAGTGCTAAAACAATAATGATAGCTATCCCTTGTATAATGCTTTACCATTTACATAGCACTTTTTTTTTTTTCTTCAGGTAAGGGGTAGGTTTATTCATCATTCTGGCTGGCACCAGGCCACGTTGGCCCTCCACGCGGCTGGAAAAGGCCTGGGAAAGAGAGCTTGGAAAAAGAATGCTGGGAAAGAGCTAGAAAAGAGCTAGGAAAGAGGGTGTCTGGGCCTGGGCTAGGCCTTATCTAGGGTATGGGGGAAGAAAGGTGTGGCTACATCAAATTCAGATGTGACCTCAGCAGATGCAGATGTGACCTCTTCCAAGTGTGCCAGTTGCCTAGATAATGCAGATACTGGGTGGAGACTTTGCTGCAAAGAGGGTGGAGCCTGCTCGTCATCCAGGAGTGGACCTTACATTCCAGCCTTTTAATAATCATGGAATAGGACTTGGATTCTCTCTGGCTACTTCCTGCTGACAAGGGGTGTTGACAATAGGGGTAAAAGGCTGGAATTTGGTCCCCTCCCAGAGAAGGCAGTGAAGCACAGTCTTTGCAAATCAAAATGCAAAATACACTATATATAGTTACTACTCAGGTATTAAGTTAAACATTTTTTGTCTTCCCTCTCTCCTTGCCTCTCTGCCTCCTTTTTTCCCTCCTTCCCCACTTTTATACACACACACACACACACACACACACACACAGAATAAATTGAGCAAAATTACAGAATAATATGATGCTGATAAAGTCAAAGTACTAAAAGGAACAAATATATATTATACATAGTGAACATATTTAAAAAGGAATGCCTTTCTCAGTATTAAAACACATAAAATCAGAAATTCAAGAATGTAAAATATGGCCTTCCAATACAATATGATACCAAACATCTTGAGCTCTGTATGCCCCCTGCTGTTCCCATTTTATAAAACTATATTTGAAAATCAGTATGCAGTCCAATAATTGAATTATAACCATGGCATTAAGCTTCAGGTTGGCAATTGTCTAATATCAATGCAAGTAGATTACTGGAGGGCAAGTATGATTAGCATATTATTCAAACAAATGTAGGCTTTGCAGACCTTTGACTGAAATTCAGTCTAAAGAATAAGATGTATGCTAGCTGTAAATGGCAAGGGAAAGAAAATATAGTTTTTTTTTCCCCAAACAAACACAATTTAAAATGATCTAGACAAGAAAAAATTATTAGTTGGAAAAGTATCTTACTGATTTTCATCGCAATGAAAATTTGTGTTTATAAGTTTACAAAACTGTGGAATTTTACCACAAGAATACACTCAATCTTTTTTTTAAATGACAGATATGGCTGTGTTTATCTCAGATATGTTAAAGGAGAATTTATGAGAATTTTATTTGTGAGAAGGCCAAAATTTATCATTTATGGGATGAGCCATCTGGTGGTTATTCTTAAAACTGTCTGAATGACGCAAAGCAAAACTGAAGTAATGAAATGGAAAAGCAAAATCAAGGTTAAAGAAGAGTATGCTTTTAAATGACATGAAAATAAGTAAAACATAGTTCTCATTTATATTTGAAAGCTGAAAATTTCAAATTATAGCTCAATTGATGTTAAGGGAATCATTTGTTTGGTAATATTGAACAGATACATTATAAAAAATTTTTTTAAGGAAATTGAAATGCAAAGCGTGTTTTTAATTTTTTTTTTACGTTTAGTCCTTTGTGTTGTGGATCCTATTGGCAGCAAGTCAGAAAATTTCCTCAGATTTTAAATGCCATACTTTAAGTATTTTTGTTTGTTTGCTAAGTATATTCTCCTTTAGTAGTGACATAGTTCTCCATACCATTTTTCCTAAAAGTTTCTGATATGGGAGTGTAAATTTTATAAATAAAATTTTAAAATAATAAGCCAATATCATTCCCCTTTTAGATGAGAAATCAGGCTGTTAAGCTAAATTTTCTAAAGCCACATATTATTGAGTGAATAAAAATGACATGTGAAGCCAGGCACCAGTGGCTCACACCTGTAATCCTAGCTACTTAGGAGGCAGAGATCCGAGGATAGCTGTTCAAAGCCAGTCCAGGCAGGGAAGTCTGTGAGACTCTTACCTCCAATTAACCACCAGAAAACTGGAAGTGGCACTGTGGCTCAAATGGTAGAGTGCTTGCCTTGAGCTGAAGAGCTGAGGGACAGAATTCAAGCCCCATGACCAATACCCCCACCCCCCCAAAAAAGGCATGTGAATTAAGGACCTTTGACTCCTCCCCACCAAAAAAAAAAAAAAAAAAAAAGACATGTGAATTAAGGACCTTTGACTTCCGGGCTCTACACAGTAGCATATAGTATTTTCATCCTAAATCTTATCACTTATAGAATGTTTACTTTGTGCCAGGCATTGTGTAAAGCATTTCATCTACATTGCCTCAGTAAGCTCTATTATAGCCACAAAAGGTGGATAATAATGATCACTCCTCCTCTATGTATGAGAATTCAGCCTTAGATATGAAATGACTTGCACATGATATTACACACAGCTACTTAGAAATGCAGTTCATATTTGAATACAGGGTTTTCTGATCCATGGCCCAATCTCTTAATAATACATTATACTATGCTTTTGAAATTATGTACCATATCCAAGGATTCTTTCTAATTTCTGAAAGTTATCTTTGTTTTCTCATTAAGTGCTACCTTAATCATGAGAGATCTATTCCACTACCCCTAGTGGATGCCTGAAATGACAGTGATAGCAAACCTTGTTTATACTATGGTTTTTCCTATATGTCCTGCAGCTACATAGTATCATAGTACATAGCCCTACTAGAAGTGCTCTGTTTCTCCTTTTCATCATTGCTCTTATGCTTTGGGATCTTATGCTTTAAGCTCTGCATACCATGAGAGCTGATTTGATAACTGAGATGTCCACTATGTAACCCTAGTTGTAGATAACAGTATAGACATACTGGACAAAAGGATGATTCACTATCTGGGCATGATAGACAGGATGCTGTAAGAGTTCATTATGCTGCTTAGAACAAGTGCACAAATAAAAACTTCTGAGTCATTATTTCTGGAATTTTCCATTTAATATATTAACAACTTGATTGAGTGCATGTAATTGAAACTGCAGATAGAGAAACCATAGATAAGGGGAGACCAATGTACAGCTTTCTTTAAAAATAAAGATATTTTACATCTTAATGTTTGAAGTTTTCAAAGCATTTTTATACATTATCTTTTGATTTCTAAACCACACTGTAAGGTTTATAGAAAAGATAATATTCTTACAAGCACAGGTAAGAGGTTTGGAGAGATCAGTCACTTGACATTGTTAAGTTGCACATTTCAGTCTTAAGTCCTGTACACTATTCTATTCTGTTATAATTGGTAGTTAACTTAGAGTGATAATTTTGGAAAAACAATGTCTCCTTCCAGATTATGGTTTTTATAATTTCTTTTTTTTTCTGCTTTGCAGCTTGAAGTCTGGGCCTGGATTCTGTCCCCAAGCCTCTCTGTGCTCAAGGCTAGCACTCTACCACTTGAGCCACAGTTCCACTTCTAGCTTTTTCTGGGTAGTTTATAGGACATAAGAGTCTCATGGACTTTCCTGCTTGGACTGGCTTTGAACTGTGATCCTCAGATCTCAGCTTCCTGACTAGCTAGGATTACAGTAGTAAGCCACTGGTACCCATCAGATTATGGTTTTTGTAATTGTCACATACTTCCTATATTTTACAATGGATTTATTTCCTTTTGTCTGGTGATAAATATGTTGTATAATATATTCATTTTTCTGTCACTTTCACTTTGTTTTTCTCTATTTTTAAAAATCTATTTTAACGTGTGGCAAACATCAGAAGATGCACATCTCAAAAATACATTACCTTTGGTTATTTTCTGAACATTGTGTTAAATGTTTCACTTTGAAGTAAGATCTTTTGATAAATAGGTTTTTCTCAGTCATTTTTTGTTCTGCCACCCATTGTCTAAAGGTGTCCTAATTTGTCAGAGAACATCAAATTAGTTTTTTTAAAAAGAAACTATAAAGCTTAAGAATTTTTGTATATACATATTAACAATTATTAATCAGTGCTCTTTCACAGCCTATTTCAGATTAGATGGCTTTATATTTAGACTAGAGACTGTGGACATATGTATACAATCATGTCTTTGTAAAGAAGCTACAATGGTCTCCACTGGTATGACAGTTCAAGTATATGTTGATCATGGATAAAAATAGGTTTAAAATATTGAAATAATTTATCTTGAGATTTGAACAATGCTAATTGATAATATTAGAAAAACTTTAAATTTTGCTCTTGTCATAGTTTGAGGACTATGGAAAAGCAGATCTTTGAGAAATTATTACTTCACAATTAGCTTTTCCCTTTTTTTTCCAGGAGGTACTGTAGTTAGAAAAATAAAATTCAATCAAATTCAATTCAAAATGAAATTAGGTGGGTCAAAACATATATTCTATGTCATGTTTTTATGCTATAAAATGAAATAGTATATAAAATAATAGGACATATAAAGTGATAAAGCACTTACCTAGCTTGCTGGAGACCTTGGGTTCAACCCCCAGAACTGCAAGGAAGCAAGCAAACAAATGGACAAACAGCAATTATGACAACAGCAACAACAACAATACCAAATCACAGTTTCTAAACTTATATGTGGTCAGTTTTTATGAGGAGGATTATAGTAACACAGTCAAACCAAATATAAGAATTGCTTCTGCCAGGGAAGTGGTGCTGTGGTTCAAGTAGTAGAGTGCTAGACTCAAGCTAAAGAACTCAGGGACAGCGCCCAGGTCCAGAATTCAAGCCCCACGACGACCATCACCACCACCATCAACAACAAAAACCCCAAAGAATTACTCCTACTAGACACCAGTGCTCCTGCCTGTCCTCCTATTTAGGAGGATTGAGATCTGAGGATTAAGGTTTCAAGCCAGTTGGGAAGGAAAGTGTGTGACTTTCATATCCAGTTAACCACCAGAAAGCCAGATGTGGAGCTGTGGTTCAAGTGGTATATTGCTAGCCTTAACACAAAAGCTTAGTGACAGTTCCCAAGCCAAACTTCAAATCCCATTACTGACACCAATAAATAAATAAATATAAAAAAGAATCTCTTCCTACAAATGATGAAAAAACACCATCTTCAGTTGGATGCCCGTCTGTCAGGTCTTAAGCTTTTTTTTTTTTTTTTTTTAATTACTGTGTTTAATGAAAAGTTTTTATTTTTTTTCCTGTGAATTTGACTCCCCACTGCCTTCTGTCGATTCTTAGCAGAAACACAAAGTACCAAAAAGCCTTTCTTAGTGCTCTCCCCCGCCCTCTCCCCTTGTTATTCTTTTTAAATTTTTAAATCTTTCCTCTAGACTCTCAACTTACTGGTCTGTATTCTTTTTATCATTCAGAGTAAGCTTGAGATGCTTTCAAGAAAGAGATTAAAATTTACTTTGGTTTGAATTTGTCTTGTCCTTTTTGGGTGGGAAGTGCTATCTAAGCAGCCATTTCCTACCACCTCAGTATTATGGGGCAAGATCCCTAGAAATTTTCCTTTTAGAACACTAATTTCTACTGGTTCTTCTTTGGCAACATAGCAATGTGTAAGATAGTGTAAAATAGCATAGTGTAAGATAGTGCAAAGAGCATGACTTTTAGATTTGGACAAATATAGGTGTCAAAGATGCTAATGCTGCTAAACATGTAGTATAACCTTTTTGAATCTTAGTTGTATCATATATGAAATAGAGATAATACTTGTCTTGCAGGATTGTTATAAGAATTCAGTGAGATAATATATGTAAAATTTCTGCCAATGGAAATAGTAACAGTTTTTTTAGAAAGTGGCATGTTGATTAATTGTTTTACTTTGGGTCTGGGCTATTGGTTTAAATCTTGGACCATGACTGAATATACCTGTGTAATCATATTCTATGACTCAGTGCCTTTTCTTCATATCTAAAATGGGGATAATGATAATAATAGTATCTATCTCCTTTTGAGGATTACATAAGTAAACATGTATGAAATGCAACCTGTCTGTTTCCTAATGTTATATAAAGTGATGGTTGTGATAATGCAGGTGCTCATTCTTCCCAGAACATTCACTTAGGAGTGTTCTACTTATGCTAAAGTTTTTTGTTGACATTTTTTCCATATATATTTTTATTGTAAAAAATACTGTTTACTAACATTTTTTGATGACTTATGGTCAGGATCATCTGGTTGCTTTCTCTTGATTATCAAGACCTTATCTTCTATGCTGTCAGCTTAAATGGTCTGAAGAATTGATCTGCCTTGGAACTGGGTTTTTTATATTAATCTTGCTGAATTTGTAGGAAAATCTCATTGATTTTCATCAAAAACACTTATAAGCTACACAGGTAGTACTATGATAATCCTGATAACTTGCATGGGACTTAAATCTGACTCTTAATCTATAATTATGTTTCAGAAAAGCACTTTTATATCTTACAGTCAGATTGCCATCTCTCTTTGCAAATAAGAAAAATAATGATTTTTATTGATTCTCTTTTCAAAAGAATGTGATACTTTATGTCGATGGAAAATAAAATGAAACTTAATTTGAGAAGACTTTCTGCAAACCTCTGATTTTAAAGAAGTTATCAACTCAATTGACTTTTGCAAAACACCACTACTGAAAGTGTTATAATTGTTATTAATCCCTCTCATTAACAAATGTCATGGAGACATTATGCACAGTGTGGAAAACACTGGCCATCTGGGCCTAGCACGAAGTTGGAATATATGATGCAGAGAAAAGTTTTCTTTTTCATATTAAAGTGGCAAAAATAAAAGATGATATTTCTGATATAATGAATGAGGGATACTTTTATCAAATACAAAATAGAATTAGTCATATTTACAAAAACACATAAATCTTAAGTTTATGTTTTCAAAACATTATCAAGGTTTAAATGACTGTAATTTTGAAAACTAACTGAATTTGTGAAAATGTGTCTTTGCCTTAAACAGAACAATGAAAATGAAACAGCCCTACATTGTGCTGCTCAATATGGACATTCAGAAGTAGTTGCTGTTCTTCTAGAAGAACTCACTGACCCTACAATTAGGAACAGCAAGCTGGAGACCCCATTGGACCTGGCAGCACTCTATGGACGGCTGAGAGTCGTCAAAATGATCATCACTGCACATCCAAACTTAATGAGCTGCAATACCCGAAAGCACACACCACTCCACCTTGCTGCCCGTAATGGTCATAAAGCAGTTGTACAGGTGCTATTGGAAGCAGGAATGGATGTGAGCTGTCAAGTGAGTCTTTTTTTAAAACTGTGCTTTAGCTAATTGGAAAGCTATGCATAGGAAAAATTATTGGTAGATGGCAGTTATATGTGATATCATTAGTGATTGTTTCCTTTCTCCCAGAATCTAGTGTATATAGCCTTGCATACTTTAGGCATCCAGTCAAATAAATAAAACAAAAATTTCTTTATTTTTGAGTACATATGTAATGTTTAGCATGTAGAATTTAGTTTTCCCAGCTATCCAAGAACTTGAGAGCTACTAATTTTCAGTTAAGAGGTTAGGAATCAGATCGAAAGAGTTAAGAAACTTAACTGAGACACAATGGATAAAACTAGAATGTGGGTTTAGACATACTTTAGGTTAAAGGCCAGGCCTCTTTCTAATATAATTTCCCATCTATGTATAACTAATGAACAATCATGGTGCTTAAGGGACTTATAAACTTATTGAAGAAATAGGACTTGAACTGAGATTCGAAGGAAGGTTAGCATTTGGGTAGGTTTTGATTTTCCACAAGGAAAGGGAAGCCTACTTTTATTATTCATTTAAAAAATAGCCTCCACTTCAAAGCTGGTCTTTGTATTTTTATTTTTTAGAGCATTTTGTACTTTCAAGGGTGGCTTTTTTTAAGGGTGGCTTCTTGACTTGCGAAGAAACCTTCCAATGGAAATTTTTGGTTTCTGTCAGATTGTAATTGTCTTTCCTATGTTTATAGTAAACTATTGCGCATGATGGACTACTTTTAATGTTATAACAATAATAACCATCCAACTCACAGTTCTGGATTTCACAATTTAGTCTAAGCTTAGCTGAGTAGTTCTCATTTTGCCTGGGTTCTTTCACATATAATGAGTTGGATAAACATCTCTATTTCAGAGGTTAGGTGGATATTGTCTGTGGTGATAGACAAGATTACTATGGATCAGCCTGAGTTTATTAACATGCCATCATAATGATTGAGAGAAAAGAGAGTAAGTACAAGAGTGAGAGTGAGAGATAATACTATTATACAAGGCTTCTTCAAGTTTAGGCTTAAAGTAGCATATCAATATTTATACCATGTTTGATTGGCCTAAGAAGTCACAAGAGTGTCTTAGAAGTGTGAAAATATACTCTATGCTAGAACAAGGATGCAGTGTGAATACTGAAAGGAAATAAGGATGGCCAGTTTTGTAAACACTCCATATGTGCTCAAGGTGTAGTCTTCCTCTGTGGGGTTCCTTTTCCTAAAAATTGTTCAGAGGTTGAATCTTGTCTCCTGAGTACTGGAATTACAGGTATGCACCACCTGCCCAGCCACAGACAGTAGTACAGCCATAATAACTGAGACCAGTATACCATTACTGATCTAGATCTTCACATTTTTTTAAACTAGATGACATGACCAGAGAGTTTAGATTCAGTTTTATAAATGTATGTGATATGATATGGTTCATCTTTTGTATAAAACATTATAGATTGTGTTTTATAAAATTAAAAATAAAAATATCTGCATGCCAGATTAAACAGAGGAGACACAAGTTTATAAGAATAAATACATGATATCTAATAAATGCTAAAACAGAGACCTGTGGAGGAGTAGGTCCTCACCTACTCCTTTAAGATGGATAGTATGGGAAGACATTGGTGGAAGTGATATTTGAAAAGAACCTTGCAGTCCAATAGGGTTCTCAATATTAGGTATAATTTAACTTGTATACATGCATCATTTGGCTAAAGAATGTTTCATTTATTTATTTTTTAATTTTATTGTCAAGGTGATGCACAGAGAGGTTACAGTTACATAAGGTAGTGATTACATTTCTTGTCTAACTTAATACCGCTTTCCTCATTTTTCTCCCTCTTTCTTCCCCCTCCCCTAATCCTCTCTCCTGCAAGTTGTACAGATCATTTCCAACATATTGTCTTGTGAGTATCACTGCTGCATAGGTTCCCTTTTTGTTCTTTGTCTCACCATTTTCTTGCTCCCCTTCCCTTCCTTAATTCAGATAAACATATACACAATACCCAGTGTACCAAAACTGAATACAATGACAAAGGGATAAACCATAGAGGGAAAAAAAACACAAAAGAAAAAAGAAATCACATAGTACATTAGAACAACAACAACAAAGAAAAACCTCTTGTGTTCATGTCTTGGAGTTCATTTCGCTTAGCATCATCTTATATGGTCATATATACATAGCTATTGGGCTATTTTGTTCATCTGCTAAGATTATCCTAGATGTATACTAATTACAAATAATGCAGGCCATGGGACCTATGTTTCCTTGGGTCTGGCTTAGTTCACACAATAACAATTTTTCCAAGTCCTTCCATTTCCTTACGAATGGGGTGTGTCATCATTCTTTCTGATAGAAGCATAAAATTCCACTGTGTGTGTGTGTGTGTGTGTGTGTGTGTGTGTGTGTGTGAGAGAGAGAGAGAGAGAGAGAGAGAGAGAGAGAGAGAGAGAGATTTTCTTGATCCATTCATCTACCGAGGGGCATCTGGATTGGTTCCATATCTTCGCTATGATAAATAATGCTGTGCTAAACATAGTTGTGCTGGTAGCTTTAGTGTGGCCTTGTTTGTGGTCATTTGGGTAAATGCCCAGAAATGGGATTGCTGGGTCATAGGCAGCTCTGTGTTTAATCTTTTGAGGAACCTCCATACTGCTTTCCAGAGCGGTTGACAAGTTTGCATTCCCACCAACCTAAAGACTGTTTTATCTCTATAATAACCATAAATATTAATGAACTCAATTCACCAATCAAAAGAAAAAGAACTGCAGACCTGATCAGAAAACAAGATCCATCAATTTGCTGTCTTCATGAGACTCACCTCACAACCAAAGATAAAAGTGAATACTGAGTGAAGGGATGGAGAAAGATCTATCATACAAATGCTCCCAGCAAGAAGCCAGGAGTTGCCATTATGATATCTGATAAAATAAACTTTACACTAAAATCACTACAAAAAGACAAAGAAGGTTACTATATAATAATACAGGGAACAATCCAAGAAGAGGACATCACCATTGTCAATCTATACACTCCAAACATCAGTGCACCCATTAAGCAAATACTCTCAGCTTTACAGGAAATGATGGATCCAAATACAATAATATTAGGAGACTTTAATACTCCACTCTCACCAAAGGACAGGTCCACCAGCTAAAGAATTGGCAAATAAGTCTCTGAATTAAATAATATCGTATCTTAAACAGACTTAACTGACATACCATTTTCCACCCAACAACAACCCAGTACACATTCTTCTCAGCAGCCCATGGAAATTTTTCTAAAATAGATCATATCTTCGTTCATACAAAGAATTTAAGCAAATACAAGAAGATTGACATAATCCCCCCTGTATTTTATCTGACCATAGTGGAATCAAACTAGTTTTCAATAACAAGGCATATAGTAGAAGAAACTCAAACACATGGAAATTAAACAGCACACTGCTGAGCAACACATGGGCCATAGAAGAAATTAAAGAAGAAATTAAAAAGTTCCTACAATTCAATGAAAATGAAGACACATCACAAGGAAACCTATGGGACACAGCGAAAGCATTCCTGAGGGGCAAGTTTATTGCTCTCAGTGTGCATATCAAGAAAACAGAGACAGTCCTAATAAACAATCTCATGATGCAACTGCAACGGAAACTGCTAGAGACACAAGAAAAAGTTGAACCTAAAGTCACTAGACAGAGTGAGATAACCAAAATAAGAGCTGAAATTAACAAAATAGAGACTAAGAAAACTATAAATAAAATTAATAAAATAAAAAGCTGTTTTTTTGAAAAAAAAATCAATAAAATTTATGAACCACTGGCAAGATTAACTAAAAAAAGAAGAGAGGAGACCCAATAAGATCGAAGATGTCACAGGAAAAATTACAACAAACATCCAAGATATCCAAACAATTATAAAGAAATATTTCCAGACTCTATACTCACAAAGGAAGGAAAACCTAGCAGAAATGGATGAATTCCTGGAGAAATACAAATTGCCCAAACTGAACCAAGAAAAATAAATCAATTACATATGCCAGTAACCTACAATGAGATAGAGGAAGCAATCAGAAACCTTCCAACAAGGAAAAGCCCAGGACTAGATGGATTCACTATGGAATTCTATAAGACCTTTAAAGAGGAAACTAATAGCCTTACTTCTCAAGCTCTTCAGAAAAATAGAAGCTGAGGGAGTAATCCCAAACTCATTCTATGAAGCCAATATCACACTCATCCCCAAACCAGGCAAAGACCCAACAAAAAAGAGAACTACAGACCAATCTCTTTGATGAACACAGATGCAAAGCTCTTCAATAAAATTCTAGCCAACAGAATCTAGAAACAAAAAAAAAAAATCATACATTATGACCAAGTAGGCTTCATCCCAGAGATGCAGGGATGGTTTAACATATGTAAGTCAATAAATGTAATCTGTCACAAGATCAAGAACCACATGATTATCTCCATTGATGTAGAAAAGGCTTTTGATAAAATACAACATTCATTCATGTTAAAAGCTCTGGAAAAAAATTGGAATAGAAGGAACATTCCTTAAAACAATAAAATCCTTATATGACAGACCAACAGCCAACATCATACTTAATGGGGAAAAACTACAACCAATTCCCCTAAAAACAGGAACAAGGCAAGGATGCCCACTCTCCCCACTCCTATTCAATGTAGTTCTGGAATCCTTAGCCAGAGCAATAAGGCAGGAAAAAGACATTAAAGGGATCCGCATAGGGGAGGAAGAAGTTAAACTATCTCTTTTTGCAGATGACATGATTTTATACCTTAGGGATCCCAAAGGCTCCATCCCCAAACTCTTAGAGCTTTTAAACCACTTTGGCAAAGTAGCAGGATACAAAATTAACCCACAAAAATCAGTCGCCTTTCTGTACACCAACAATGTACAACAGAGAGGGAAATCAAGGAAACAACCCTATTCATAATAAACTCAAAAAAATAAAGTATCTAGAAATTAACCTTGCCAAAGATGTAAAGGA